CATTTGTATAGAACACACATGACTTGTTTTTTGTCTGTAATGCTACCTTTTAAAATGATATCTGAAAAGGGTTTCAGTCGTCCTGGCTCTCTCCTACTGGCGGCTTGAGGAGGAGATCAGACATGCGGAAGGAGCTTGGCCTAGAACCACTGTTTCTTTGCATTAAAAGGAGCCAGTCGAGGTGGTTTGGGAATCCCTGTGTAGGTAATGAGGCTCATCCAGCTTGGAAGAGATCCTAGGACAGGTCCGGAACACAATATAGAGGGATTACATATCCTGTCTGGCCTTGGCACGCCTCAGGACTCCCCCAGGATAAGCCTGCTGCTCCTGATACGCAGATCATTAATCTGTCATCTGGGGAAAACTGATGGACGGCATTTCAGAAGGATATGAACGAAGAACCACTTCTCTCTGACACATGCTCTTTCACTAGGAGTCGAGTATCTTGGAATAAACAGAACCTCTTTCATTTTGATGATTGATGCCATTGCTGTTGTGCTTCCAAAATGTCCAGTGCACAAGCAAATGATCATGTAGGACATGACAGTAAGTATTTATGGACTACCACAGATCAAGACTCCTTATAGAATCAATGGAGAGGAAGGGTTTAAGATAAGACAAGAGAGGTCTCTGTTTATTATGGGACAGTCTGGCTGCTTACTTTCAGTAGGTGACCTCCATTTGCGGTAGCGCCATTTGAAAAAGCCAGCAGTAAGAAAACCAGCCACAAAATTGAAATGATTTTGTTATTTTCCTCCCTGGCGAGAATCTGAGGTGAAGACACACCGCCAAGGGAAACACATATTTTCAAAGACACAAATTGTGCAGTAAATCCTGAGAGCTGGGCCCAGATTTACAGCCTAATGAGAGGCAAAGGGGGTGGAGGGGTATTAGAGAGAAGATGATGGGGTAATGAGAAAATGCTGATGAGTTGCATATGTCTGCCTAATTCAGTACACACAAGAAAGAAGAAAGACACAGTGCATGACAAAGACCAAAAACCACATAATCATAACGATGCTAGATGGTAGTCTAAACTCCACGAGGACCGGCTCTCTAGCTAACGGCCAGGGGAAGACCATGGTTAGATGACATAATTAGCCATTTATAACAGAAATTGCCACGGTTTGGGGTTTTTTGTATTTCCTGTGCTTCCTGTTTTATTTTGAAGTTGGTCTGTCTCTGGTGCTTGCCTTGCTCATGTCCTAATGTGCCTCGCCTGTGTAATCACGATGCCTGCTTGTGTGTGTGTGTGTGTGTGTAAACCATTTGCTCAGGTGTGTCTGTCCCCAAATATTCCGTGTTGCGTTTTGATTTTTTGCACTTTGGGATTTCTGTCTAGGTATCTGTTTTTGGAATTGTTTATTCCCTGGACTGCCTGACAGTAACTGTACCTGCTCTGCTTAGGTGTCTGTGTTTGGCTCCAAATCCCTGTTTTCCTGCATCTGAGCCTGGCTAAATACGACACAATCAGCTTGTTATCCCAGGCAATTAATGCTTCAGGCTCCGAAGTCATGCAACCAAGACAAAGGTTTGCATACTACAAAACAACAAGCTGAAACTCTGTGAAAAGTCCTTATTATCATAACAGTGATACAGCATGCTTAACATGTTATGCAGTAAATTAGCTGTCAGTCCAAGTGGGTCAAAGCACATTAGCTGACCTAGCTTAGCGACCCTCTTTAGTCATTAAGTTGAAAAATGTGTTCATTAAATAAATAAATAATCAATAAATTTATATTTAGTCCGTAAGACTGCACCCCCACCACAGTTACGCTGTCAATCTGTGGGAAACACTGCAAATATTAGGGATAATCTTTGTTTATGTCATGCGTTTCTTAAAATAGGTAGGGGTGAGAACCTTGAAATCGGCATCAGACTCAAAAATCCCATATCGGTAGGACTCTTAGATGGCCGTGATACAGGTTGTGAACTTTACTGATCATGTACACACAATAATCGTTTCTGCTAGCTCTCAATATATTTACACAGAAAGGTTGCCAGGTTAGGCAACGTAGTACCTCCCCAGAGACTAAAGCCAAAACCTGTGACGGTATCTGGTAACCCCAACTGCACCGAAGTGGTAAAGACAGAATTTTGGACAGAGTCAGGCTAGCTGTTTCCTGCAGCTTTAAGTTAGGCTAACCACATCCTGACTCCAGCTCCTTACTTAACAACACATCTGAGATAGATCTTTTCATCACACTGTCAGAAATAAAAGTATTTCCCATAATGTTACCGTGTGTGTGTGTGTGTGTGTGTGAAGGAGGAGAGTGAACCCTTGTTCGGGCTCAGCTCTGCTTTCCATTCACCCTCTTTATATAGATGTGGAGCTGATTTTTACTCAGGGATTCCAATGAACAGATGCCTCAGTGTGGCAGCAGGGGACACACCCACATCCACACACTCTCAATCATGTCATCCACTATATATAACTATGATAAATCTACCAAAAAACACATACATACTCAAACATATGTTTCACACACACACACACACACACACACATTCACACGTCTCAAGGCAAGGTGGAAAATAACACAGCCCCACAGCTGTATCCTGCTTTTTCTTTTTTCTCTGCTCCTTATTTCTTTTTATATATTCTTTAAGGGTGTGTTGCTTTCATTATCAGTGCAAATATGGCGCTCAGAGCCCAGAATAGCTGACATTTGCGCTGAGAGAGAGGACGGATAAAGTGGGTTAGAATAATAGCGGAATGGAAACTTTGTGTGAAATTGACTTGCAGCCTCGCAGTTAGCACGCGGGCCTTGTATAAGTAATGACTGCCGGCGGCCTGCCAACTAAACACGCGCACATTCACCTACAGTGCCTTAAAAACACACAGTCACACACACACACACACACGTACAGACCTTTTTAACATGAATTTAATTAGCCAAAAGCATGGCAAATATGGAGTGCAGTAAGTGGCTGCAGGATTCTTTGTCTTCCCTCCTATAGTGCAGGATATACAACAAGATGGAGATGAGGTAAGGACATTGTGAGTGGTGTGTGTGTGTGTGGCCTCAGCACACTGTGATGAATATTGTTGAGTGGGTGTTGGTGTGTGTGTGTGTGTGCCCTGGTAGGCGGTCGGCGGATCTTACTACAGTTTCCACTGGCTAAGTCTTGCATGACGGAGACACAATTTTGTAGGAGACAAACATTTATTGTGAGCGTGTGCGCATCATTACAGTCATTGTTTCTCTCTCTCTCTCTGTCTCTCTCTCTCTCTCTCTCTGTCTCTCTCTCACATCTGTTTCCAATAGATAACTGGAGTTGTCACGGCACCCGGAACGTTTCTGGGTCTCTGAGCTTTAGAAGGTGTGACACACACACCTGCATGTGAGGTCACATCACACACCTGCGGCCCGCTGGGGCCGACTGCACCTTCATCAGGATCTGCTGCTACCACTGTGAGAACAGGGGAATGACTCGTTCATTCAGACGGGCTGGTGAAATTTAATGAGCGAGTCAGCGCAGCAGGAAGAGACTTCCTTATAAATCTGTCACTAGCCATTTCCTCTCACGGGTCACCTGTGGCCCATTGAGTTCAAACTCTTCCATGTTTGAAATGTTCCTCTTTTTCCCTCACCCTCCTGCTACATTTTTTTGCATTTGAGAGAGGAAAATTCATTTCAGATATTTAACACATTTTAAATTTCACAGTTTTCATGCGAAAGTGCAACATTTTCAATACAAGAACAGCAGACAGAAAGAGATGAAGAGACAAAGGAATAAAGGCGCCATGGAAAGCTGGTAGCTAGAGGAGACGTTACAGTACACACACACACACACACACACAGGAGGATGGCTGGACAACACATTCAATGTAAATGAGTGTGTGTGTGTGTGTGTGTGTGTGCACCAAAGGCAGGAAGGCCAAAAGAAATGAAGAGAAGGATGATAAAAGGAGAGACATCAGAAGAGAGGAAAGCCTGAGGTGCTGAATACCTGGAGACACACACCTGCGTCACACACACACACACGCACACACAAACACACGCACACAAACAAACACACACATAAAACACGCACACACACACACACACACACACACACACACAGGAAAATCCAGACAAGCTGCTTGCACATTCCTGCTGCCTGCAGCCATTTCATCTAAATGAAGTCTGTCCATGAGAGTCTCTGGCATTTCGTTCCTATGAAGCAGTGAGCTGGGAGACTTTTTGACCACAGCATGAATCCGCCTCATCACATCCCATCAGCCCCGAGAAAGACTCGGTTTGTCTTGTTCGCCTTGCGCTCTGGTGTGAAGGAATGCAGAGGCGATAGGTATGGGCTGGGATTTGTGTGCATCCATGCTGCACATATTTCTTGTCCTGGGGCGAGTGTGTGTGTGTGTGTGTGTGTGGGGGGGGGGGGTTCTCTTGTTTCTTTACCCTGCAGGCTTTTTAATAAACAGCCTTTATCTGTGATCAGACTAGAACAACAAGCTAGACCTCGGCCAGATATCCTTCATACAGGAAATGGAATCCCACTGGCAGTGAAGGTGAAGCGGTGTGTTTCAGGGGGTTTAGCCTTTTTATAAAACAGTCTAAATCAGAAGTATTACAGTTTTTACGATTGTTTACACACTAAAATAAAAATCTCCACACAATTTGCAAAATTGTACTCCAATCAGCAAAACACCTCCACAGATTTGCACAACAGTACACACAATGTCTGCTTCACCCTTTTTGCAAAACATTACACACAGTGATTTGTAAAACTCTACACACATTTTCACACCTTAGACACAGATAAGGATTGTGAGGTTACTTCCTTGTCATTACAAAGCCCCGGATTGCCAACGACCACACTAATGAACGAACTGGATAATCACATCCACCAGGTGTGGAAGCACACATGTGCTAATTTGAAAACGCAGCACTCAGGTGTGCTAGAAAAGGCAGCAGGTGAGTTCACCTGTCTTCAACAAAAATGGAAGGAGCTAGAAGAAGAAGAAGGAGAAGAGTGAGAATGAGAGAGGGAGCTCAAAGAGGAGATGAAGGAGGTAGAGGAGAAGGAGGAGGTAGAGGAAGAGGCCCAGGTAGAGGAAGAGGAGAAGAAGGAGGTAGAGGAGAAGGAGGTAGAGGAAGAGGTAGAGAAGTACTTGAAGAGTTGACAGAACCTGAACAAAGAAGACGAGGACCAAATTTGACTCAAGAAATCTGTGCAACCCTTATTGACCATGTTATCAACCATGGACTGACACTGATGGAAGCTGGACAAAGAGTTCAACCCATTTCAGCAGAAATACTGTTGCGTCAGTAATTCGGACATTTCATTGAGAAAACAGGTAAACTAACCACACAGTACATTGAAACTGAAGCTCGTTGTACTTATCATCAATATTGTTTACTGGGACATTTGGCAGTAAGCTGCATGTGTATTTTTTTATATATTTTTTTACATAGGATTGAAGGTCGAGGACACCAAGGTGGAAGGGGCCCTATGTTCACTCGTGCACAAGAGGCCGCCATTGTGAACATGGTTTTGACCAATAATCGTATCAGGCTGCGAGAAATCCAAGCCAATATCATCAATGGTGACCGTATTTTCAATAACATCCAACGAGTCTCTCTGTCAACATTAGGTCGAATCCTCAAGAAAAATCAAATATACATGAAGCAACTGTATGTGGAGGTATGTATCGTTCATCTTACTATGGTGTGGTATTATGCTCATAATGTTCTGGCACAAAAAAATACTGTGCAATAGATACTGAATAGCATCCTATTGTCTTTTACTGTGTTTCAGAGAGTCTTGCAAATGGATGCTGCAGAAATTCAACATGAATTTATATGTGTGGATGAGGCTGGATTTAACCAGAAGAGGGAGAAATGTAATTGGACACAGGGTAATCAGCAATGTGCCAGGGCAGCGAGGGGGTAACATCACCCTTTGCGCTGCTATTACACAAAATGGGGTCCTCCATCACCATGCAAATCTGGGACCCTATAATGCAAATCTAATACTTGCATTTCTTGACAGATTGCACGAGATTGTCACAGCATTAAACCAAGTGGACCACATGTAGTACATTGTTGTTTGCGACAACGTCTCATTCCATCGGGCTGCTCTGGTCCAGATTTGAAGTCTTATACCTTCCCCCATACTCCCCCTTCCTGAATCCAATAGAGTTTTTTTCAGCATGGCGGTGGAAGGTATACAACCTGCAGCCCTATGACCATTCAGGCCACGGAGCAGCCCTGTGATCATATCGAAGCAGCTTCTGTGCAGGGGAGGATTCGTCACACGAGGCGATTCTTCCAACAGTGCCTTGCCAATGAAGACATAGCCTGTGATGTGGATGAAATCTTATGGCCTGATCCAGCCAGACGGAGAGATGATGAATAGTTACAGTATTCTTGTTGCTTTTACAGTAGTTTTTCTTCAGAGTCAAAATGTATGTACTTCATGCAGTAATTTTTATTTGTATACAGATTTTATTTGTTTCATTGATTTCATTGTTGGTTGATTACTGTAACTGATTATGGTAAGAAATACTGTAAGTATTGAAATAAATACTTGAAATATTCAGTCTGCAGCATCAGTGTTGTGCAGTGCTTGGTAAGTTTATGGTAGGCCTATTTGTGTACATTCTCCCTATATCTCAAACTAATCATGAAGAATGTTTGTCACTATTTCTTTTTTTCATTTAATTATCCCTTACATAACAATGTCTGGCCAAAAATCTAGCACATGCTATTTCCTAAAATTATTATTATTTTTTTTACAAATGTGTTTACAGTTTTTCTCAATTGTTTACACACAAATTCTGGTACTTGAGACACAATGACCACAACATGTAACTCATTCACCAACCCCCTGAACCAATTCTGCTAAACTACAAGCACAATTCCTGCTTTACACTCAAATTGCAGTTCTAAAACACACTTTTTTTCAAAACACTACACACAATTCTCTGCTTTTGGCACAAGTTTCATGCAGAAAATATCTTGTTTTCACAAGGAACACACTGCCATTCAAATATGCACACTGACTCATCACGAGGGCAAACACCCGTCACACAGTTTTCCAATTAGCAATCAGAGCTTTAGCATAAAAGGGCAACAGGACAGCTCTTCAATGGAGCAATGGATGCCAACATTGGAAACAGAGGCAGAGCCAGAGGAGTGAGAGGACGGGGACGGGGACGGGGACGGCCAAGGACCGTAATCTCTGATGAGATCCGAGCCACTTTGGTTGATCATGTGGTCAACCATGGTCTAACAATGAGGGAGGCCGGGCAAAGAGTTCAGCCAAATCTGAGCAGGTGCACTGTAGCATCCATCATCCCGACTTTCCGAAATGAGAATAGGTAAGAAATCTACTCTCACAAGCAAATTGCAGTACTGCATATCAATACAGTACTCAATGAGTACAGTAGTACAGTATTGCCTGTGGACTGTTCTGTAGGACCGTAAAAATACTTTAAAGTATGTTTCAAGTATTTAGGAAGTATACCTACTTTGTATTTACAGTATTTTACTTTAAAGATTACCAACACAAGGTGGTCGGGAACGTCTTCTGTCTCCTGAACAGGAAACTGAAATCATAAACATGGTCCTAGAAAACAACGCCATAACCTTACAGCAAATACAAAGAAAAATAATAGAAAACAATGACATATTTCAAAATATTGATAGGGTAAGCTTATCAACACTGGACCGTGTCTTGCGCAGAAATCATCTCAGGACTACAGGGTGCCATTTGAACGCAATTCAGAAAGAATCAAAGAATTGCGATATTACTATGTGCAAGTGAGTCCCACAATTGATGCACACTCAACACTGTATACAGTAAATTATACATATTTCAATATTGTAATCATAATGATTGTGCTTCACAATAGTGACCACTCCATGTCTATTTCTGATATTGTCATGTGTGTTTCAGAGAGTCCTTGAGCTGGAGGTGGCTGCAGTGGAGCACCAGTTCATCTTCTTTGATGAGGTTGGGTTCAACCTCACAAACAGACGAAAGTGGGGAAGGAATGTCACCGGCCAGCGTGCCATTGTTGAAGTCCCTGGCCAGCGCGGAGGGAACATCACAATGTGTGCAGTGATTACCCACCATGGCATCATCCATCACCGTGCTACCCGTGGCCCCTACAACACCGCCCATCTGATCACATTCCTGGACACCCTACACAACACACTCATTGCACCAGATCAGGTAGACGGCCCAGAGCAGCTCAGGTACGTTGTCATTTGGGACAACGTAAGTTTCCACAGGGCTGCTCTGGTTCGTAACTGGTTCACTGCCCACCCACGCTTTTTAGTTGTTTATCTCCCTCCATATTCTCCATTCCTCAATCCTATTGAGGAATTGTTTTCTGCCTGGAGATGGAAAGTGTATGACCGAAATCCACAAACGCGTATACCTCTTCTCCAAGCTATGGAGGATGCATGTGGAGATATAGCAACTGATGCTTCTCATGGCTGGAATCGCCATGCTAGGTGATATTTCCCCCGCTGCTTGGCCGGGGAAAACATTGCTTGTGATGTGGATGAGGTGCTGTGGCCAGACCGCAACTGAAGAGAGGATGCAGCATAGATTGTTTTTTAGTTTTGGTTGTTTTTTTTTTTACTGTAACCGTGTACAGTAAATTCTTGTTTTGTATGTGCAACTTTGTGTTGGTTAGGAATGGGATGTACACTGGGTACAAAGAGTTTTTTTTTGTTGTTGTTGTTTATTTTGTGGGACAAATAAAATATATATTACCATGTATTTGTGTGTTCTGAGTATTAAAAACAATATTCTCAAATATTTTACAACACACTTATGTATGTACTGTCTGTAGTAAGTGTAACACTGAACAGAAAAAGGCCTAAGTCATTATGATGACTGGAGAAGTGTTTTCCAATGAGCACATCAGTGTTCAACTGGTTCTTATGAATGTCTATTCATATGATGGTCTGTGTGTCATTAGAAAACAAAACACCATTTTGAGAAGAAATAACATTGTTTTGAATGTAAAGTTTCATTTTGCAGGAGAATTGAGGGGTTTTGCCGTGTGTGTTTTGATTTGTGTGTAGAGTTCTGAGAAGGAGTCATTCTTTCAGAAAATGTGTGTAAACAATCGAGAAACTGTATTTATCACAGCAGTGTGAAACTGGCTGCAGTAGTGTCTGATCACTGAGGTTGGTTAAATGAAAACTAATAGCATTTTCAAATGTGTATATGTTTTGATGTGTGTTATTTTGCAAACAATCTAGGAATTATGCAAATTGAGTGTGTCCTGTTTGGATAATTGTGATTATTTTGAATAAAGATTGCGTCTAAACAATTGGGGGGAAAAACTCAGTATTAACATTACTATTTAGGCTTGTATACTTATTCATACTTGTTTACTTTTCATATTCAGGAAACTTTCCTAACTCCAAACTGTTTATTTAATTACTTTCTTTTTTACCAGAGTTGATCCTGAGATGGTTCTAAAGTACTTTTTGGATGTGGGATGAACTGTTGTGCTGAGCTGCATGTGGGTAAAGAGAACTGTGAGTCAGCAATAACAAAAAACTGCAATGAACTGCAGAATTTCAAGAGGAGAGGGATAAATTAGGTGATACGAGGTCCAAATGATGCCTCTCTGACTTTATTATGATCATCCTTTGTTTCACAGCTTAGAGGCAACATCTGTGTGTGTGTGTGTGTGTGTGTGTGTGTGTGTGTGTGTGTGTAATACCCACAGTGAACACCCAAGCAGTAGAACAGCTGTGTATGAGACATAGCAGGAAAAATGTGATGACACAATGTAAATCTAACACCTTCAACATCTTCGTGCCTTTTGGATTTTGACTTCAGCCTGACATAATGAAGGAGCAGGATCTACACGTTGTCCTCCCTATGGACTCAAGAGATACACATCTATATATTATTACAGTCCACTCAGATGAAACTAAATTCTGCTACTCCCTGCAGAAACTGGGCCTAGGTGAGAGGACAGCAGTTGGTGTGGACACCTTCTTTCAATAACTCTTATTCCAGCAGAGCTACAGCACCTCCAGGAGGTTTGATTTTTAATGGCCGTGTCCAAGAGGCCCATGAAGAGATCTAAATAAAGACAAATATTTTATGAGATAGAAAGAGATCGTGCAATCCGGACAACTAAGAAAATCCATCCATCATCAACCGCTTATCCTGCGTACAGGGTCGCGGGGGGCTGGAGCCAATCCCAGCTGACATGGGGCGAAAGACGGGGTACACCCTGGACAAACTAAGAAAATAGCTTTTCTTATTTAATATTAATAACTGTGGACAAACTATGTTTAATTACTTAAAACATATTTTTGTGTTAGGGCTGAACAATTTTGGAAAATAATCTAACTGCGATTTTCTTTTTTTTTTTACCAATAATGCGATTTAATATGCCATTATTTTTTAAGCTCTTTATCTTCTATATTATTCAAAACAGACAAGCAATAAATCAGTGTATATTCAGTCAACATAATATTAGATAGATATTAGATACACTGTTCTTTCTTTCCTATGTTATGATGAAATTAGGTTATGCATGAATTATGATTATGAGCAACGGCGGAGGAGCAGTATCAAATTATAATTTCAGAGAAAGATAATTTGAGTCAAATCATGGCATTAATATCATATAATATCATCAGGGCGGCCTACAGACGACAAGAAACACAAAGTTCACCACAGTGTGTTAAATAGTAAGTGAATCAAATCTTCCTCTATGTCTGTAAGTAAACAAAAGAAATACTCAGTTTGTGGTTCAATACAAAAGTTGGCAAACAAAAGTGATGTAAAGTGATGCAGGTGGGTGCGGCGAACACCACAATACGCTAACCCTACTACATGTGTCTCTCTGTTGTGCATCTGTCTGTCCGCCAAAGTGGCGGAATGCCCGACGATTTCACTCGACACCACCAACAATTTACCCGCGGGTGGCAGGTGCTAATATTATTCCCTCTTTGACACTAAAGTTTATGCAGTGTCAGGTTCTGTCGAGCCTGAGGCCATTGTACAACAAGTCACTGTGCAGCGTAGCGTGCCAAGTTGATGCTTCCTCTGCAGACTGCGTGTCATGTGACCAGAGTGTAATAGTAGCCTTTGCGAATAGAAAATCTCGTTGTATCATATCGCAATAATATTGCAAATGCAATTAATCGTTCAGCCCTATTTTGTGTACAGCATTTTTTTAATTGTTGTTGTTTTATTATTGGCCAACATATGGACAGATACTGTTATAGCTGTAAAAATCTAACATTGGCTGATATATGAACTTTTCTGGAAAACGCACGCATCTGAGGAGAAAAGTTTGCACTCAGCATGCTGCAATCTCCATTGTTGCCTGATGTGTAGCAGGGTATTATTTTAGCTTTAAATGATTGGGGAAGGGAAACTGCTGCACTTCAAGCTGTGACTCTTGGTGACTCAGAGGGTCAGTCAGGGAGACAGATTGGCCTTGTGGTCACAGAGACAACCTTTGAAACAGAAGCTGGCTGATTCAAGATGATGATTAAGAAAGAACATTATCTTGTAGATGTTGTAGTCTGGGATAGGGCTGAAACGAT